CCGAACCTTAAACCAAGCGGTCCCAGCCTGATGTAGATTCGGAGAAAAGGCATTAAAAAGGCGGTGTGGTTATTAGACTTTATTCAGGTTTCAACGAAGCACTTTAGCTTGCACGGTCCTTAGACAAGGGGAGTTCGGAGTCTTCATGAGTATCCAGCCCCTTCGGGATGGTTGCCGCCCGAGGGTGTCTAGTTCTTGAGAGGCTTGACAGATGGCTACTAGGCTTACGAAACCGATGCCGATTCCGTGACCAAGCGCCTGAGAATATCCGGCGTACTGAACAAAGCCGATAGTGCATGTGTGTTCAAGCGTAGGGGACTTTGGGTCGTCCGCCGAGATCGCAGTGTAGAGATAGCTGTTAGTTTCTGGGTGGCCCGGGCCGGAGCATTCTACCTGCACCTAAAAGGTAAGATTAAGGTAGTGTAATGTTAGCCCCTCGATGTGTACATGTTTGTGCATCTATGCCCTATTGTCCACTTGATGGGTGGGATCCAAAGAATAGTAAAATACCAATTGAAATGAATGTCTAAGTATAGACGCCGGTTTCGTTGAAGAATTTTCCCACAATGACCCGATGTTTTCATTGCATTACAAATCCTTCCCAAAAGTTGATCCGAGTTTTGACCTCGCATCGGTCTTATCAGCACCGGCACGAGTCAAACCGTGACAGTTAAGAATTATAGCTTTACACGTTCACCGCTCAGCTATTTTGCAACGAATCCCATCGGGTCGGAAGGCAAATGTGAATTTCAAGTAAGGTCAGGCCTTTTGCCATATCATATTTTTTTTGTGGGGATGTCGATGAAGCAAATGTACGCCACTTTATTTTTTGCATTTTAGGTGTTGTTTCGAGACTACCAGTGATGTGCGATGTATTCACCCAATTTCGTTTAAAGTGATGAAGAAGAAACAATAGTTAAAATGAGAAAAATAAAGATTTAGGGTTGCATAATTCATATATTAAAGCCTAGGGAGCGCTTACCGGGACCAGAGCTCGTAGAAGACTAGGATGAAAGTCTACCAATTGTCTCACAGATACTTTGGTAATACCTTGGAGAACACGGTCGACAAAAAGGGTGAGCAATGACATGTCACGAAGGACAAAAAAACCCGGATCGCATGTATTTGTGTTAAAATCTGGAAAGCCTGAAGCCGAAAGTTCGCCTTCGTATGATAACTTTTGGCAAGCATCCACAAGGCCGGCAGATGCGATGCTTTGGTCAATTAATTGATTCCACAAGAGGGGGAATGTATGTGAGGGTGATAACCGATAATTCGACCAGGACCTAAGGAAAATGAAATGATAATATTTTTGAGATGTTGCTATAGAGCATTGGAACTAAATAATAGGAAAAATAAAATTTTAAAAATACCAGGCAATAATATTTAGATTATTACTTCATAATCGGTCTTATGGAAGAGAAAAATTAGACGATTTACTGATCTTTATAAACGAAATGGATGAAAAATTCAAATTTAATATAGATGTGGAAGAGAACGGTAACCCACCTTTCTTGGAAGTTGAGGTCATTTGCTACGAGGAAACTCTTAAGAAACGATTTTTCCAGAAGAAATCCCATGTTGGAATAACTCCTAATATTCGGTCTAATCATATTTATGGAATGAGGATGGGAATGCTCCTAAGTATGATCACAAGAAGCCTACGACTCGACTATTTTTAGTTCTGACAAACTAATTCAGATACATCTTGGAAACGGATATCCATAAGAAGCAATAGAAAAACGACGGATAGTCTAGAAGTTGCAGACTATACAGTGGAAATGAAATATTCGTACAATCTTTAAGGAAAGGACAACTCTCTTCACCGGCACATGAAAATGTCAACAGAATGGAGTGTTTCAGAGTTTATAGCATAAAGTATAAGGAATGTAAACAAAAATAGATCGGGGAGACAGGAAGGATAATCAGCACAAGGACCAAAGAACGCCAGCGACTATGCAGAAAAATGGATACGGAAAGATCAGAGGTAGCAGAACACATCACCTGTACCGGCCACACAATTGACTAGAATGCAACGGAAAGACCTCTTATGGTGAAAACACCAGGATACCGAAGATCAGGGATGCTGTGGGCAGCCTCTTTCAAAGAAACCTGATGAACGAGAGATTATAAGAGGGAAAGGTCGGCGATAATTTCGCCTACAGCTTGAATAGATAAGGAGATTCAGCGAAGACACCAAAATGAAGACGATTGGACCTAGGATAACTGTAAATGCAACTAGTGAGAGGAGGTAAAAGTGGAATTGGACAAAAATATTTACCCAGGGTGTTGACCTGTGAGACGTAGGATATGAAATTAAAGGCTAAGTTATAAGTGGACCAGTTTGTGTGAGTATGCGTTGTGTATATTTTTCGTATCTGTGTCTGAAGTGGAGGGCACTTGTGACATGTTTGACCACTAGGGATACCAGCCAGCACAGACACACAGGAATATTATCCCAGTAGAAGTGGGGTGACCTCGTTGTCGCAACTTGATCTTGTTACCAGGGCGACTTAGTAGAACGCACCTAGTCCGAAGTCGTCTGCCATAGTAGTTGTCCAGCTCCTCGTCCTAGAATTCTGCATCCGTTAGGCGTAGGCTTCGGATGATCATGCTCTTCATTATTCCAATCTTTAGCCTGTAATTGTGATGGCATCGGAAATGGAGTATTATCCCAGCATAGGACTTGTTTCTGAACAATTTCTGTTTGAGCGTCCCATTAAAGCGAATCACTTCTACATCCAGGAACGGTAACCGCTCACCCTCTACTCCCATCGTGAATTGAATTTTTTCATCAATCTAGTTTACATACTTGAGAAACTCTTCGAGCTTTTATTTTCCATGTGACTAAAGAGCGAAATAATCATCCATGTACCACATGATCACTGCCAATTATAGTGGTGCCAGCTTTAACTTCTCTTCCTTTTTGTTCATGTATACGTTTGCAAAAAGTGGTGAGGGTGGCGATCCCATGGGAAGTCCAAATATTTGTTCATAGATGTTCCCGTTGAATGTAAAATAGGTCCTTATTGTCAAGTTGATTAGTCTTGTTAACGACTACCTACCGATCCGTTGAGATTCTGGGATATCCTTCTCCCGGTCCAGGATTTCCAGCAGGGCCGTTAGCGCATTTTCTCCAGAGGTATTTGTATTCATCGATTTCACATCGAAACTTACTAATAAGTCTGTTTCTTTAAGTGCCATGTTTATGATTTTTTTAGAAAATTCATATGAATGTTTCACCGTGTTTGATAGTCTATCATTT